TTACGAAAGTTCCTAACTTCCGAAAAGCAGATCGAACACGCTAACCACTGCGCTATCGGCCTCCTCCTATTTCATGGAGCACAAAATTTATGTCTCCATAGCTGTACAATCTTTTGAACTTGCAAAACCTAATATATACCTAAAACCTTTCTTTTATTCATTCTTTAATTATAGCAATATTGCTCGTAAAAAGGAGTGCTGATTCTGTTGCACTACTCTGTCTCTAACCAACTAAGAACCTCTAACTAAAGAAAAATATTTTGGCTAGTTTTAACAATATATCCCGTAGCCAAATAAAATGTAATCAAGGAAATTAAATATTAAATTAAATCATACACCGGTTCAAGACACTTAGAAATGGGATTCGATCCTATAAATTATTGGGTGTACACTAATTATTTAAATGCGCTAAGATAACTTTAAAAATAACATACATGAAAAGTTAATTCAGATGATATAGCCAAACGATAGTCCTAATGCTCTCTGTAATCTGTTTCACAAAAAATGAATTTGAGAAGGCTTTTCCGTGTAGACCGTAAAAGTTACGCAGAAGTAACAGTTCTGTGTTTGGGCTAAGACTGGTATTTATAAAAGTCAAAACAAAATTTATGAGTTATACGACTTCAGAATATAATTATAGTCAAAACTTCATTAAATACGTGAAGAACGTTTCGAAAGTATTCAAAAAGGTTTGTTCATCAGCAAAATCAAATTTTATTGAAGAGAAAATAAAGAATTTCAATAACAAAATCGAACAAACTTCCAATGTAATAAACCGTGAAATCGATAAGAAACAAGTGCGTAAAGATATTCTGATACATAATAATAATAATTCTACCATCAAATCTCATAATAAAATTGCTAATATATTTGATGAGTATTTCATAAACATACCAATTGTAACAACATATAGTTTAAATTCTAGACCAACTGCCACAAAGGCTTTTTCAGAAATATACATGCCTTAGAGAGACAGCCAGTTCAAATTGAAACACTCGTATATTAATTTATTAGACATTATTAAAACTTTCAAAAGTCTCAAAATAAACATGCGATTTATGGGCCATATCTCTTAATATTATAGCCCCTTACTTGGTTGGTATATTTAACCGTGATATATTTGAAGGAACTTTGTAAATCTTATGAAGTTTGAAAAAGTTATACTCACCTCTTTTCATATTCGGTAATAGGGAAGACACTAGTAATTATAGACCTATATCAATATTATGACCTGGTTTACTGTATATAATCTCTAGCTTAATGCTAAAAAAACGAAATATATAAAGTATATGTAACTTAATGTAAAAACCATCTAGGAGGCTGAAAATGGCCTCAAGAATGAGCACACTCTATGTTCATACCATTGCACAAGAAACGAAGGGAAAGGATATGAAAAATCAGACAACTCGCATATGTAAATACTGCCAGGACAGTACTTACTTAGTTATTTCTATAGCGTTATGTCATACAGAATTCTGCTGTAGAGTATGGCTACAGATATAGATTTTGAATTCATTATACAAAAATTATCAGTAAGAGCTATTTATCAATTAGGTTCAAGAACATCACTTAGAGATAAAGTCAAAGAAATTGGAATATTGACAATGGCCTCCCAATTTACATACAATTGTATGCTGTAAGTTAGAAATAATATTAACAGTAACGTTAAACATAGTCATGTACACAACTTAAATACTAGAAAAAAAGATAAACTTGTTTTGCCGTCATGCAGGCAAAAGAAAGTTCAAGCAACATTTATGAGTCAAGGCATTCAAAATTCCTATAGAAATTTTAAATTACCCATTGCCTAAATTTAAGACTTATACTGAAAATTGTCTACTTAGTACAGGATATTTTACTGTTATTCCATTGAGATACCAAAGTTCCAAGCATAATATTTTGAACCGAAAATTGATCAAATGTAAAGTTTATTAATATTGTTACGTTTTTTTCACAATAGGAATGATGACTAATTTTTATTTGTTTTTCCATCATTTTTTTATTGTAGAGTGTTGAAAAATATTAAACACGTATTTTTTTATTTTTTTGTAATCATAAAATTACGGCGATACATGGAGTTGAAATTTCGCATGACGTCACGTTATGGTACGTTTTCTATAAAACTGTGACGTAGCGAGCCCCCACTCCTCAACTTTAATGCCTGTTATCTAAGACATTTGTCGTTAAAATGACGTAAAAAAAAACCTATTTAATGTTTTTCTATTATTTGACTAACGGACTTACAGAATTGCATTTTTTTACCCAGTCTTCATCCCTATTGAAGACGGAGTTTAATAAGACTAAAATTAAGTTTAGTCTAATTGTTGTATGTTATCAATGTTGCATTCACAATGCTGTATTGGAAAATATTCGTAATTAAAAATGCGAAAGGTCATTTTCGCATTCCGGGGGACTGCTCTAACCACTCAGCTGCATAAGACCTAACAGGACTGAAGATTTTTTCAAGTACTTGTTACTTTTTGCGCTACTACAGGGTAATGTTTTTCATCAATTTTCAGGCAATCCACCCAAAAAAAGAATAGTAATAGTGAAGCATTTTTCATTACTAATTTTCATAATAGAATAACTATCGTTTATTGTTATTTTGATAATGATCCTGATTTTCAAAAAAGGTTACAAGGTCAGATCTACCAATAGCATTCTCAGACTTTTGAATTTATTGATGAAATTCATCCTCTTCAGTTGGAAAATAAACAGAGCAAAAAAAAAGACAATGCGTCAAATGTCATTATTTATTCCTGACGTCGTCAACTGTATTTAAGACTTTTGTAAGATATGCAAGTAAACGGCTAGCGACGATTTAAATATCTAAACATTAAAGTTCTTTTTCTATTTGAAAATTTTCAAATAGGTAATGACAATTGTTTTATCCATTTACATACATCAAAATTATTTATGCAAATATGACAACGAACGATGCCTTATCCCTTGTTTTTTTTTTAATATTATAAATCTGCTGTGATTACGCACATTTCGTTGCGTTATGTTTTTTTTTTTTTAATAATTCACCTCTTCGGTAAAAACAAAAGGTATTTTATTTTGAAATATTCAATACTACATTTCTTTAAGGATAGGGTCAAATGTAATTGAACTATAAATAAACATCAAATTTTGTCATATGAACCCACTACTCCAAATCAACCCTACTGGATTTCCATATTGGATTTAATCAAATAGAATGATTGGATCATATTACAACCCACCATGTGGGTACAGCGTTAATTAGTCTGTAAATGCAGCTAGAACAGACGAACGGTTTCATATTTGTTACAGAGTACGGGGAAGATTGAGACAGTAAAATCTATTACCAGTCCTTGAGAAATTGCTTAACCTTCATATCGCTAATCAACTCCAAAACTTCTCTTGTGTACCTGAAACAGATTTCACTTGAAGTATAAACATTATTAAGTTACCTGGGCCGACCTATTAAAAAAACAGACGGATAGACCGTAAGCTAACAAGATTTTCTGTTGTAGATGATGGAACATAAGAAATCACTAACCATTTTTCGCTAGCAAAAATATCATCGTTTACAAAAATAAACGCTCTTAGTGACACTATCCTTAGAGAATCTTATAATGAGATAAAAAGTAGCGTATATTTTAATCCAGAACTGGAATAACTTGTATGCCAAATTTTATCGATATTTTTTCGTGCATGAAGAAGTAACAAACATACATACTTCAGTAGGATTCGAAAAGTAATTCTAACCTCTTCCCACGTGTCAATCAAAAATTTAATGTGAAATAGTACCTACGTTATGACGTGTGATATTTATGTTTTTTGATTTTTAAATAGCATAAATTTTATATGACGTCATGAATTTTTTTCTCAAATAGAAAGGCATAAGTATGACCGTAAAATTGTTGGTGTGGAGACAGGTCTTGCATATTTTTACGATACAATTAAACTCGCGAAAAAAGTTTTCATTTTTATGAAAAATCTTTTGGCGCTTTAAATCCTGTTATTGGATCTTGGGACTATTTTGCCTCTTTTTTTTCAATGTTTAATGACTGATAAATGAGCTACACTACATAGCAAAAGAAGTTTCTAGCTACGTTGTTTTCATAACAAAAAAGGAAAAATATATTTTTTAAAGGATTATTTGCATGTCTATCTGTCAGTCTATGACAGCCGAATTTCCCCGAAATTGCTTTACCGTAGAATTGAAATTTGGTACTCATTAATATTATTCATTTTTTTACTTCTAATTCCAAAGTTTGGTTACCTGCATTTATTTACGTTATACAACCATATTTTGGTTATCGATTTACCAATGTGTAGATTTAATTTAAATTGAATATTAATGAGTATAAAAAAACAACCAAAACACTTCATAAAGATATACTTGTGTGAATCACGAACAGGATCAAGGTTCGGTGCATCTAAATTACCCATAAAGTTAACCGTTACTTTACAACCCTATCGATTGATGAATCGGTTAAGATAGAATATAGTATACCACTCTTAATTAAACTTAATTGCCACGTGTACTTTAAGAAATACATTCATACTACCTTGTGTCCTGCATAAATAGCCTTGTGTCCTACAAGTGAAAATACAGATCTTTGTTATATGTACAGAAAATATGAACTTATAAATATTAAAAAAAAAAATTTATGATACTACTTTGAGAAATATTAAGCTTTGAAACTTGAAAAAGTAGGGAAAATATACTATAAAAATTTGATAAAATTGGTTACATAAAACGTTACAACTTTCGTTATAAGAGCTATAAACTAAATTGATATCTGAGAAATTATGTTGAAATAGTTATTTCAACATTATTTCTCAGATATCAATGAACTATTAAGTCTTGTTATTGCGACAGTATTTCTACCATTGATAAATAAATAATTATCCACTTCTTAATAGTAAAGGTTAAGAATCATGGTGTCAATATTGTGTTTATGTAAAATCTCCGTGAAGGTATTAATTTGCATATTAGATGTGAATTTTACTTTTTCATCTTCTTGATAATCATTTAAATACTTTTCAATGTAATAAATTCTACATTGTTAACTAGACTTTGTATTGTAAACAGGTGAAAATGGAGGCTATACCCAAAAATCCCATAATACAGCATGAACCGAACACTTTAGAACAAGTTCGGAAAATATTTAACTTGGATAAACCAGGACAAATGGACGAATCTATTGATATATTACAAGAATGGGTGAAAAAACAACCTCATTTTAATAAAAAAGATTTTGGTGAGTACGATACAGACATTTTATAATATAAGAGTTTGCGATAAAAATGTGTAAGAGTTATGTTAATATTTGATACTTCAGTATGAGGAAGTTGCTAAGAGTATAACATCATAAAGTACCTAGTCCAGAAGTCAGAAATTTTTAGCGATTGCTGAATGTGTTTGTTCCTCTTTAAATTTTAATTTAATCAAAAAATGTCAAAAGTCAAAATAAGCAAGTAAATGAGATAATTTATAATGTGCAATATCCAATCGTGTGTCCTTACAAAATGTAGAAATGCGCCACGTGTCGTATACAACCTTTTAAAAAGTTTCACTAGTACTTAGGTCAACTCGTTAAAAAAGTAAATAAAACGGTATCCAAGCCCTGGTTTCAGATTCTATTACTATTTATACTTCTTCAAAAAAAAAAAATTCTTTGCATTTTCAGATAGAGCTTATTTGGAAGGCTACATTATAAGAGCAAAAGGATCAGTTGAAAAAGCCAAGAAGCGGCTGGAAAGCATGTGTACATTAAGGACCGTATTTTCTCACTTGTTTAAAGATAACAAGCCAAACCAGATGAAAAATATAGAAGCAATGTATGTATATAATCTAATTGTGTATGTGCTAATAGATACAGTATATGTAATGTTAGTTTCTTGATAAATTATTTGGTAATTTATGTTAATTTTATAATAAATAATATTATAGTAGTACTAAAACTCAAGTACAAACCCGAAAAAGTAAACAGACTCATACTCCGTTGTTTTCGTCTTATGAAAAGAAGAAGCGATAGACAACGAGACAGTCGAATAATTTATGCAAAAGTAAGGGAGGCAATGAAATAACTTTCGCGATCGGATTACCGGATCAGATCGTTCTCACTTGTGGGTAGCTTTACAAGGCACGATTTTTACGAGTACATAAGTTATTCACTTCTTCGACGTTTATTACTCTTTTCACACATGCTTTCCGCTTTTAAAATTTCCACATCACCTTCCGACAATTCAAAATTTTTACCAGATCATGGGTCAAAAGATTTGAGAAGCTTTGAAAACAACTTACAAGAACTACATCAAATAAGTTTCTTTTTGTTTAACCTATCAAACTCTCAGGGAAAGGTTTGCATAAAAGACAACTTAAAATTAATGTACGGAATGAGTGATCAAACAACCGCCAACTACCCTTGCGGAAATAGAAATCAATAATAAATTAAGAAATGACAGAGATTTTTTGTTTATCTTTTCAGCAAAGAATTCATGTTTCCAAAACAAACTAAGGATTATTGTACCGTATATTTTTCGAAACTTTGTGAACCTAACGTGGATGATTCATTTATTTTGAGTTTCTTCACCAAAGCCGAATACGTAAGTGTGATTAGTTAATTAATCAATTTATAATTTACAACAAAAATTATTATTTCTATGGGAATTCTATGGCAAGGAATTAAAGAAAATTGCCTTAAACCGCCACTTGAACCTGCTTGTTATTGTGTATTGTTTGTATGATTTCACTAAAATATAATTTCAGTACTATTCTTGATCATCGGTTATTATTGCATTGGTTTTATCAGTATTTATAAGTTAAAGTTTATTATTAGAGAGAGAGATATTGTTTTGTATTTTTTCATGGTAAAACTTTTTTACCTTATACAAAAACTAGACAAAACCACCAAATCTGGTCATTGACTATTTTTCACAATCTACAACAGTATTAAAGCAAATATTGAATGGCTTTCGTATTTTCTTGCAGATTAGACAAGTTACCTAGTAATTTTAGACCCATTTCTTTATCTCATTCTATCAGCTCTCAAAGCCAGTGACGAGATGAGAATAATATAAATTTAAAAAAGTTTCAAAGATTTCTAAAGAACTACATTTTTCAGATTGTTGATTTTTTAAGCAAATATGATTACAACGCTGGCATCATATACGTTATCGACATGACAGAGGCTGATTTGTTAAAGTACATAACGATAATGGCAAGTCCTTTTGTTCGCCAGTCATTTACAATTTTTTTCGTAAGTATTATTTTTGTATTCTACGTTTTGGAAACTTATTTATTTAGAGCTTCTCTTTTATCATTTCATAACAACGTATGGATAAGTATATGCCATAAATATATAAAACTAAATAACACTGTTAATAAGGGAAAATAATAGATGAACTGATACTGAATAAATGAAATAATCAACTATCCAGGCACTTTTTTACGAAGATTCGGTTAATCATTTACACGCAAATAAATATAAAAAATACTGATGTGCTATAAATATCTAAGTTACGAAGTATATCAACGTTTTATGAACAATACATATATCAAAAGAAACTTCGTAAAAAGCTACTATTAGAACACATACTTCAGAAGCTGTTATAAGAACACATATGGATCATCTAATCAAAATAAGTAAATATTATTGTTAATAAAATTTTGCGAAACTATTTTTGATGACATAAGTTTCCATCGGTTTTCAGAATACTCTCTCAAACCACCTTACAGATTTTATAAAAGCGATTGTTGAGGAATATATGAACATCAGATTACATTTCTTGTTAAAAAATACAAATCGTTTGCCAAAAAAACAATTGCTTAATAAATATGTATTATTTCAAGGACAATAACTAATAAAAAGGTCTGGGATAGACTTATACTATAATAATAGTATGTTAATATTATACGATACGTATAATTACATTTCAAAAAAAGTTTTTATTTCCTTGTAATTTTTAAAGAATAACATTGAATGCCTTGGTGAAAATGGAAATTCCATATCTCATATCATTGAAGTTCTCGCCTACGTCAAAAAACAGTTAGGTGCAGAAGTCAAACACAAATGTTATTATGTATTTCACTTTTTATGCCTATGCAGGGCAGTTGGCTTATGCACAAAGAACTATCGTGATATTGGCGCTTGTATCTAGTGGATTAATTTATAGAGAATGAAACAGAAATTTTACATTTGACAATTTTCTCTTTCGGAAATCCCTAATAACTTTACAACGGATTGCCCTGATTACATAATTTATTTTGCCCTATCCGTTTTAGACCTAAACCTATCATATGACTTTAAAAACAAAATAATATCTACACAAACTAAAAATCATGTTTTCAACTTACGTAATATTGTTGGTGGGTGTAAAAATGAATGAAGTGTGAATTTAATTTACTTAATTATGCTGATTCAAAATCGGAAACCATTATTATAGAAATCGAGTTAACATAGCCACTTTAAACAACCGCCCACTGAACAGCTTTTATAAATTTTTTTGTTGCTCCTTATTTGCACAACAGTTTATAGTCGGATGTCTCAAACGGATGTCACTTTATATATAGATGGACTTTTGTACGTACTTATCGTTTGTGACTCTGTCTTCAAACTTTTTTGTCTCGGCTTTCAAACTCATACTTGACCAGCGATTCCTTATTGTCCAGCCGTTGCAATTATTAATGTAGGTATTATTATTTTTACAGATATAAAACTTAGCATAATAAAGTAAAACAAACATGGCCTTGATCAATTTATTATCGCAATGATCATGTTAGTTATTACATTTAACAGTTTCATAACAAAATTTAAAGCTCTTATTTTATCGACGTATATTATGTCACATCACTAATTTGCACAAAAGGAATGATACCAGTAAGAAAAAAAAAAACAAATCAGGCTTAATGTAATTAATACAAAAATTCTATTGTTTTTTTACTTTTTGTTTTTTTTTACACTTTCCTCGCTTAACTTTATTACTTCACAGATATATTATAGAGTTTATCATTAAGTTTTCTTAGTTTTTTTACTGCATTCTTTATAAGATATTTCAATCAATTGTATAGGTAAAAGCGTTATTTTTCACTACTTACTTGGTTACAGCAAAATCTAATCTTAATAGTTCGCACATAAAATGATGTGCCCAGTTTTTTAAAATGTGCATTATCTAAAAATAATTTTTCCCTCCTGGTATCCCCGTATACAAACTGCACAGTCACGTGACAGTTCAACATTCATGTTAAAGTAAATTATTTATTATCATGTTGAATTAGAGTTCGTTTTAAATCGTGCGATTTCTTAACTTAGTGTCTTTCTGGGATTTTGATTATGTTATCGCGAACGTATCGCGTGGCGGTTTTTCATATAGTAAACAAAATTATCATTTCATCTTATCTTTATTTGTGTGCGGAGAGGTGACCCTTGGTTCCTATACTAAATTAATATCATTATACTTCTAATCTGTCTCTATGTTCTATGGTGATGACCAACTAAATGTTTTTGTATTTCCTTACTTCAGAGATAATATCAATTAATTATAACCTCTTTATTTCAGAAAGCATACGGCGCACGTATCCGCGCAGTCAACCTCATAACCAAGTCTAAATTGATTGAAAACTTCTTGACTTTACTGAAACCGTTGTTGGGTGACAAAGTGGACAGAATATTTGTGCACACTACTCGTGATTCCTTATACGAGCAAATTGAGAAGGATATGTGGCCGGCTGAGTATGGCGGTAAAGAGGAATCCATAGATGTACTTTCAAGTATGTCACGTTTTTTATTACAGTAACATAAATGTAACCATTAAGCTGATAGCAGATTAAACGAAGAAATTTAATTTACACTTTGTAAATGAATGAGAATCAACATTAGGATTTCGAGGATTCGGTTCGTACCAGTTAGTGAATGTTCATATGATTTCCGCGCGGAACGAGGTGTTCGCGCTATTTCCCCGCATCGCATACCATAGTGTAGGACGTTAGAAGGTTCTAGTTGGTAAGCCTCTGCATTTTGACAAGCCACCGAGCCAAGGAACTGATCCACGCTAGAAGAGGATGGCATGCAATGATGCATTTCCTTTTGTAAAAATTTGATATGATATCGTAGAAACAATTCTTATATTTCGACTCATTCGGCACTCCTTATGAGGAATAATATACGATTGATGTCTCTGTAAAATTATCTAGCACTTTATTTAGTGTGACATATTTTGAGGTAGTTGTTTACTTATGTTACTTACGTGTACCTTGGACAGACAATCCAGTTAGGTAGATCCAATTTCGACAAAGAGGTCGCTCGAAGAATCCAACTCGGCTGGGCAGCGTTCGGGAAGCTACGCGATATCTTCACGTCCAAATTACCACAGTGCCTAAAGACGAAGGTGTATAACCAGTGTGTGTTGCCAGTGATGACCTATGGCACTGAAACGTGGTCCTTAACTGCTGGCCTCTTAGAGAAGCTCAGAGTCGCTCAGCGAGGCATGGAGAGAGCTATGTTAGGGGTTTCTTTGCGCGATAGGATCCGAAACGTGGACATTCGCCAAAGAACTAGAGTGACCGACATAGCTCGCAAAGTTTGTAAGCTGAAGTGGCAGTGGGCAGGCCACATCGCTCGACGAACCGATAACCGATGGGGACGAAAGGTTCTCGAGTGGAGACCACGAACCGGAAGACGCAGCGTGGGTCGACCCCCGACTAGATGGACGGACGACATCGTCCGAGTCGCGGGCGGCCGCTGGATGCAGCTGGCGCAATGTCGTCCGTCGTGGAGTTCAAAGGGGGAGGCCTATGTTCAGCAGTGGACGTCTTCCGGCTGATGATGATGATGATGATGTTTACTTATGTAACTTATTTACCCATTTAATGGTTAATTATTTTTTTTTTTGGTTAATATGTTATGTAAATTTTAATTTTATTCCAAATTATTCTGTAAATAATTCACAATTAAACCCATTTATTGATTTTTAGTTGATATTCTACAAGATCGTATATAAGAATTCTGTGTAATTTGGCGGGAGTTATCTCTCCTTAGTAATAGAGGCATAATTTGTTTCATTTAGTAATCTTTTTTTTTTCAGAAAGGATGATAGATTTCTTAAGTTCAGATGAGATGAAGAATTATAGGGATGAATTGAACAAGGGTACTGTTGATACGAAAATCAAACCTATTGCGGAAGAATATGATACACATTTAGGAATACCTGGCAGCTTTAGAAAAATAGCTGTTGATTAGACAGTAGTGGTGCATGTTCCAGCTATGTCATTAATATGAAATATATAAATTGGAATTACATATTTATTTTTATTGGATTTCATAGATAAGGACTTTATTCGCATTCTAAATACACAAATATTGTTTTTCATATCACAACGATTTGGAATGATGCTAGAACCATATCAATGTTATATCATTAAATTATATTTCTAAATCTATTACAATGCCCATTAATGTTACATTTTAACACTTTAATATTAGGATCGTACTACTTATTTCCAAATTCAATTAAAATTACATGATGTTAAATGTAAGGATATTTCCGCAAAAAGGGTAAAAATATAAAATACCTTATTATAATATACAAATATTGTACAAATAATTTATTTTTAATATTAATTACGAGATAAAATCGTACTATATAGATAGACCTGAGACAATATAGAAAGGTTTAAATCTAAATTGATTCAAATGGGAAACTCTGGACTTCAGAGATGACAAAACCTTGGAAACGGGATGCGAGACACACGACCAAGGAAGTCGTATTTTTTACTTCAAAATATATAACATTGATTGTTCTATATCTATTTATTTCCTACCGATTTTAAAATCAGAATGGAGTAGATTATATGTTCGATGGCGATTTTTTATGTATGTTCACTGAGTTTTCAGCGAATTGTAAACCGTTTTTCAAAATTCATATTGCTTTTTTAAAGTTTGACGTCAGTTTTATTTTGTGAAAAAAGTACTATATACAGTTTATGAAGTAATGAACCCTTCATTATTTTATAAACTGTATCTAGTACTGTGTAAATCAGTACTGTGAAAATAAAAAAAAAAATTAACGTGGTTTCTGAAGTAGCACTAAGGGCAGTAAAAATTATTGCTGTCAACGAACCTTGCGTTTTGGATTTCGAATGGAAAACCTCAAACCATATTAAGGAATTGTAAAGAACTTACCGTACCAAAAAAGCAATTAAAGAAATAGTTTATCAATGACTATCAATTTCTGGATTATACTATGTTATTCATAAATGAATTGTAAATACTCAAGCATTCGCATTATGCAGAATTAAGAATCAACTTAAGTTTGATATTGATAAATCTGTTTGATATTGATTTGTATGGCTTAAGACTAAATAAGCTTTTGGATAGACATCTTATTGTATATAGAGCCGGCTATCCTTTTATAGCACAATCACCATACCTACCATGTTAAGTTTTTTTATGGCCAACCCAACGCCTTCGCATTTCGTAGATGTAATTATTAATTTAAGAAACTATATCATTTCTTCAAAGTATAAAAATCATCGCCAACTCCAGCAAAATAGCCTGCAGAGGAAAATAAATTCATATTTGGGAAAAATAATAACAGAATCTGCAAAACTTTTATTATATTGTATGTAATTCCAATGGAAAATAATTATAACGATATTGTTTTTAGAAAGGAAAATTAGACCAAAAAATAAACAATATACTTATATGTACATACACACACAGAAAAGTGGGTAGTCTGGGCCAAGAAGTTACGATGGAACAATCTGGTTATACTACAAGTAATGAAAATACCAAAATAAAATGGATCAAACTAAATAATGATTTGGGGAAAATGTAGGTTACAATAAAGTTAGAAAAATAGAAGTTATTTTTATTTTGGTCAAAGGAAAATTTCTATAGTTTTAAAATTGACATCATTTATTATTTATAACTGTATCCTTGCCAAATAAAGTAGCAACAGTGAAAACAGCCATCTTACTAATTGATAAAATTACGAGTACCTACCAATAGTTTTTGAGCTGAGCTGCGGACGGACGGATGGACAGACGGTCATGGCGAAACTATAAGGGTTTCTTGTTTACTACGGGATCTAAAAATATGTTAAAAATAGATAACGTAGATAACCCTGTTGGTTGTAATAATATTTCTGTTTCAACTTGCTCGGTGTCACGGTGACACTATCTTGGCGACAATTAAAGGTTAAATAAGCATATAAAAAAACTAAATTGACTAATGTAAATCGTTTCATGAATTATTATGTACTGTCATGCCAGTTTCTTGACCACATCTATTTCTTTATCCATCTGCCTTAAAACTTTGACATTTATAATACGAAATGTATGTTTCCTAAATAAAGTACAGGATTCTGTTATAAATAATACGTTTATTAATCCTATTATTAATTATTATTATTTATTATCCTATTAATATTTTAAATGTGAAAGTTTTTTGTTTGGATGTTTGTCGGTCAATCACGCCGAAACTACTGAACGGATTTTGATGAAATTTGGTATACAGATAGAGTATTAGCTGACTTAGATAATAGGATAGTTTTTATACCACTTAACATTTCCGTAGGGACCACGCGGGCGAAGCCGCTGGCGAAAGCTAGTAAATGTATATTCATGGAAATTTTCCGGCACAGTTATATTTGTATATATTGACTTGGGAAAAACCCGACGTAATATTATAAATGCTAAATAAATAAGTTCTATTTATTTACAATTAAATCGATTTGAAAAAATTTGGTACAGATAAAGAGTTCACCTTGGGAAAGGCCCTTATCACTCATACGAATTTATAATGTCACCTGCATTTTTTTATAATTTAAAGATGTAATGGAGGAACGACCTGACGTTGCTTGTTTTACACAAGTCACCTACACAGATTATAATTTTAACAAAATTATAAGAACAATTGAAAACGTTCCGACTTTTCGCTTTCAGAGAAACAGGATTGGCCCTCAGGTGTCATGTTAATTGGTACGAGTTATACTTAAAGGAAGCTTATATAGAAGTTTGTCTTATGAAAATAAAAGTAACTACACGAAGTCACGCAAATAAGAAAATATTTTATTTTACAGAAAGAAGTTTGCGATGAAAATCAGGTAACTGAGCAGAGCACTATTTTCAATCAACAGTTGAGAGAAAAGGTAAATGACGTTCGATAATTTGTTTTTTCATCGTAATGTAACGTCACAGCATTTAAGTTGCAAATTATATATGCGACCTCTTTTTAGGTTCATATCGCTTGCAGTAGCGATACAGAATAGCAGATTTTCGAAGGCACACCAAATATAGCTTTATTGGTGGACTCTTAGGGTAATCAACTAATAAGTCATAAAAGAGAAAAGAAAAGCGATGTTAATTTCTTAAAATTTAAACTACATATTTACTTGATTATATTCAGCATTTCATGTTATGCATCATTTTAACTTATTTTTTATAAAAGTTTTTATTTTTCTTAGAAAATACTTATTATTCTTTAAGACTGTTATTTTGCAATAACCTTGCTTTCTATTTACACATATTTTTAAACTTTATGCACGATTTGGTAACAGGTGATGTTAGTCCGCAAACTATTATTATTGTTTCATAAATTCGTTATTAAAAATTCACGTGTTGCGTTTTTTAGTTTTAACTACATCCTTGATATCGCCGCAAGTTCCAACGGATCTCTTACGATTATAAACAAATATATTTGTGAAATATATAAGTTTGTGATTATTTTTATCCTAATAAATTGCAATATGTAAGAAAAATTTATAATTTGAATAAGCCAGGAGTCATAGAATTATTTACATTCTTGAGCTGTAGGTACAGAAATAGAATCGTTTCATCGAAATAGATTACAGTAAGCATTTTTAATGTGTGAATTTTTTTTTACATTATTTTTATGTTTCGTAATAGTACTCAATGTTGTCGTCGGGGAAATAAATAAACTCTTTAAGCCACACGACTAATTTCATAATGTTTTCGATTTAATAATATTTTATACGCAGTATATCGTTGTTTGTTAATGTCCTAAAAGTAAAACATAGATTTATGTATCTATGTTTTACTGTACATTTTTCTGATGAAAATTTCGTTTACTGAGTTTCTCATTTAATTATATTTTCTAGTATTATGACACTGAACACTTCACAATAATTAAGATTGACATAATATATGCAATGACGCGAATGCAAAAGACACTCGGTAAAATACATATACGTATAGAAAAAGTTGTAAGAAGTCTAAGATTTCTATTTCTATAAGGAGTTAGACTTATTGGAACTTGAATATGTAATAAATTACCATCAAGAACACTGATACTAGATTTCTTCGTCAATTTTGGCTTTAGAAATCTTCTTTTTAAGATGTATGAGTGATGTATGTTTTTAATATGTATGAGTATGAGTGTCCCCAGAGTTCGTTACTAATTAATGTCATTGATTTCCAATGACATATTCTGAAACTTCGACTTATATAATATGTTATTCTGTTGTAATCAGTCTTGGTGAATGTCCCGCTCATGCAGGGATCAAACTTTGCTATTACACCCCATGGTTAGGCCCTAAAACTCACTCGCTGTCAAATGCACAACTGTCATGTCATAGGGCTTCAATGAAATTAAAACTTTATAACCTTTTGAAGTTGGTTTTATGGTTGTACCTCTATGATATGACAGCGGTGCTCTCACGTCAACAACGTTTTATTTTTAAGAAAACTTATGTTCTTGCCAAACTTAATAAAATGTTACTATAGAACCTATTTTTTGCGATACGTTGTTGAAGATTTTAAATCGGAAGTATTCGCTGTAAATTATAAGCATTTAATTTATGTGAGTATTAAAAAAAATTCTGTGTCAAGGTTTACGTTAAAGATTTTATTTCATTTTTTAATATAATTTAAGCATTGAATATAGTTAAAAAATTATTAGGCTTGATATTTTACCTAACAACAATTTTATCATTCTTTGACTTCCATAGTAAACAGGAGTCAAAATATTTTTAAATCAAATTTAGTTAACACTACAAGGATGTTATTATGCATAAGTATATGATTATTATTAAGACCGACAAAATATTAATCTGTTACAAAGGGCCACAAGTTATCTTGAAGACTCCATAGACTAAATAGAAAAATCTGATGATAATGTAGTTTTAATTACAGTTTTAAGTACTCAAAAATGTGATTATAATATAAAAAAGATGCGAACGTTCCATAAACATTGATTCATTGATTTTGTTCGTTGTTAGTAAAGATACGAAAAAAAGAGGCTTTACTTTGAAATGTTCAATTTGTTTTTACGTTATTCGTAAATTGGTAATTACTTACGTATTATTATTGTAAATATAAACCTTTTAGTCTAAAAAAGAGGAGAGAGTAAATATACTTATATGAATGAATTAATATTTTTATTTCCATTTGGATTGCGTTCGGAATACATACAATAATATTTTCAAATTCCTAACCTAACCCGCAACCGGGTTAGGTTTTCGGGTAAGGTTCGAAATAATCAAATAAGCAAATCTTCAAAGCATAAACATATTTATTTATTAAAATAAAACTAACAAGACACTGCACAGTCAGAACAATGAATAAATTACAAAATCGCATACAAATTAGTGTTACCTTGTTTACAAGCATTTAATATATGTACGGCATGAAAATAACAAAAGTGGTAAGTAAATCATACAGTGTATTGATTTAATAACATAAAACCATGTTAAAATTTTATAATCTAGTAAAGATTTTACTATTAACAATCATCTGTGATAGCAGTTATCTCGTTAAGCAATTGGTGGGAGAGCCACGCTTCGGCATGAATGGGCCGGCTCGACCGGAGTGATACCACGGCCTCACAGAAAACCGACGTGAAGCAACGCTTGCGTTGTGTTTCGACGTGTGAGTGAGGGTACCGGAGGCCCAACCCCTCCCTATTCCCTTCCCTCTACCCCTCAACCCTTTCCTCTCAATGATCATATTCGTCCCTCAAAGGCCGGCAGCGCGCTTGTAGCCCTTCTGGTGTTGCAGGTGTCCATGAGCGATGGTAATCAATTACCATCAGGTTATCCGTCTGCTCGTCTGCCCCCTATCCCATAAAAAAAGACAAAGAAAATAAATAAAAAACATGTTTTATTTTTCTACATATTCTCCTCTAATCTCAATACAATGGCACTTGACATACGATTAAATATAGAACCGAACTGTCGAATGACAGTAAATTAGTTTAGATACTATCCATAAATCTCGGTCAGGCCTAGAACAAACCACCTTCGTGTAAAGGGTCAGAGAACAGTGGCTAGGATTTTTTGAACAGGTATGCACGTTGTTAGTATGTAATAAATAATGCAAGTACAAAGCTCATAATATTATTCATCTTCATCATCATCATCACCAGCCCTTTTACGTCCCTACTGCAGGGGCTCAGGCCTTCCTTATGGATGGTTAAGGAGGATGGGCCATGACCCTCCACGCTGGCCCAATGCCCAATGCGGGTATTAACGACTGCAAATGCGGCCGGGACGGCTTAACGTGTCTTCCGAAGCACGGAGTAGCTAATAATATTTTTTAGTCACCTATCCCGTGACCGACCCTTGCGAAAGTTGCATAACGACTACGATCGCGGGCCGCGGCGCTTATCCACTACGGCACCGAGCTACTCAGAATATTATTACATTTACATATCTAGGAAATAGATTTGCTACTACTTTCAAGAAAAAAAGATGTATCTTTTTTAAATGTTCCCTAAGTGATCTTTATTACTTTTAAAGTACTCGTAATTTTCAAATTGAGTTCGTAAAGGTGGTAACAAATAACATCAATAATACAAAGTAAATATTTAATAATATAATATGAACATAACAGGTAAATATCATATTTACTGCTTTCTGGCGCAAAAAATGCATTCGGTTGCACAAATGTTGAATAATGATAAATTCGCCGTAATAATTTAAGACGCCGGTGAACAGCAATGACCTTAGACGACAAACGTAAAAATTTCATTTTAATTTATCAAATTTGTTGGTAGTTGGTATTATATGTCAATCTTCATCTCTATTTAAATTCGGATGTTATGGTTACACGAGGCCATTGAAATCAAAAAGAGCAATTCACTTTTCTTGTCGGAGTTTATTTCGCTTGTTCTTCTTAGACAAGATTCCCAAATTTTAAACTGATGATAGCTTACGGTAGCCGGGGTTAAATAAATAAGTCAAATGTTTTTATAAATAATTTAATTTAATAAATGTAAACGTTGCCATAAAATATATTTTTTTTTGTAGTGTGAATATGTCCAATACTATTGTTTTTAAGGTAGCTATACTTGTCATTAGAAAGACACACACCTTAGTTTTATGTGAACGTGGAATCTGTAAAGGGTCTGAAATATCAATAAAACTTAATACAAACGCGATGAAACCGTTTCAAAGTTGTTTCTTTTGAAAACTATAGTTTATTAGCGGGTTCAAATAAAAATTGTAGCAGCCAGTTCAAGTCTTAATATAAAAAAAATAAAAAATCTTAAATGTTTATTTTCTGATATTAAAGGGTATATATAGTGGTCGCGCTCCTGCCACGTAAACAAATGCATTGTCAGACCTCTACATTAGTTTTTTGAATTGTCTTAGTTTAGATCTAGGTGTGCGATATATGACCAATATCAATCGAGTTAATACAATTGAAGAATTAAGAATAAAATATGATCTTGGAAATGAACACCTCGGTATTCCTGGAACATTTACAGCCAATTGCACAAACCTCCATTAAATATTACATTAGTTTAAAGCGACATTACTGATACCAATTTTACATTCATAAGGGCATAAAGGCGTCATTAAAGCGTAATGGACGTTTGTGCGACTGAATATGAATATGGGATGGCGCGAAATATGGATTAAAAAGTAAAGTCAATCTCATCAAAAGTTACTTTGTATCTGTAAATTTTCATCAATTAAATCATTGTTATTTTGTGAAATTCAATAAATTACCTTATTAATGACGTTATTTTATTCTGATCAAGTTATATTTGTCCTGTTTTCTAAGAGTTAGTTGCACCATCTTAATTTAACAATAACATACATGTTAGAGAGCCGGTTAAGCAAAATGCCAAATTTGGCATAATCCTTAACTATAACTGCAATTATGGTGCAACTGACAGCCAGTGGCACAAACCTAGTCATTAGTTTAAGGCGACATTTCCCATACAAATATGACATTCATTAGAGCTTAAAGGCGTCATTAAACCTTAATGGATGTTTGTGCAATTGACCGTATATCTAGCTACCCGTTACAACGTTACGTCCATTAAAGTAATCATTAGTTTAAAGTGATACAAATTTTCAAACATAGAGTAAAGGCGTCATTAAACTATAATGGACGTTTGTACAACAGGCCGCAAGTGTAATTATCATAATGGTGGTATAATAATATATCTATTACCCGGAAGACGCGCATTGTTATTTAACATTTACTATTTCAATTATAATATAAGCGAAAATTTTGACTTTATTAATTCCCTCCTAATATGATATCTACCAACATTCACATTCAATCAGTATCTGCAAGACCTGTACAGTACAGTCAACAGCACGTCAAGTTATACAAATCTGTCTTTAAGTAGAATTGAAAATCAACTTCAACATTTTTACACGTTATTCTTAACACAAAATACTTAAAAAATTCACTTGGTCCCTGGCACCCTGAGATGGGAATCAAATCCACGACCTTTCGCTACCCGGGTGACTGCTCAAACCGCTGAGCTACCCAGGACCTAATTGGATTGATGAATCTTTCAAGCACTTGTTACTTTTCCCTTTTTGTATTTTGTATTAAGAATATTTTGTATTAAGATATTTTGAATTAAGAATATTTTTCAATATTGCATTGTGAATGCAAAATTAATCAAAATATAGTGATTTTGACATGTTGGAGTAGCCTGACGTACTTCTGTGTCCAAATCAGTTATGCCGCTCCACGAAGCATTCTCAGGTTTTGCGAGACCTGAAAATGTTAACATTTTGCATTATAACGTTTGATTCTAACAATAATAAAAATATTCTATTGAGCATCAGATTGTGAATATAATATATGTAGAAATATTCACATTACCAGTTATCCGAGATGGAATTCGAACCCATAACCTTTCACAATCTGAGCGATAACTCCGACAATCCTTCAATGAAATAATTTTTCAAAGGTAAATTTTAATAAAGTATTGTTGAAATAAAAGCACTCGTGATCATATTGTATTGTTGACTTCTATAATTAAGAATACTATATTCATCAGATGTCTAAAGTTTATACAAGTATCTAATCTAACAACAATCATTAAAAAATCATGAAAACACTTTAAAAAGGCATACACAGTAAACGTGAACATTTTTACGGTGAAATGGTTAAAGAACATTTGAATATTTTCTATACGAAAAAAATCGAAGTTAATGCAAGGCAAAAAATGTAACCCGAGAACCGGAATCGCCTTAATTTTTTATTTAACATACCGTTATCTGTTCTTGTACACCCACAACTGTAGTTTATAAATATCAGTGACCTGTGTCGAGTTGATATTTTGTAACGATAAACAAAATGTAGGTACGACTTTCAAGTTAGTCTACGTAAATACATTGTTGTTTTAAATTCAAGTAACCAAGTGTAATACTTTCAGTCTCAACAACACCCGTGATATTGGCGCAAGTTTAATAATTGATTAAAACAAGTGTGCAATTTAGTGAATTCTTTGAGTTTACGGCCATGGAACGTCTAGTAAAGGACAAGATATTGGAATATCATCCTGATACATTGCAATATGTTAGGAAAACGTATAATTTGGATCAGCCAGGAGCCATGGACGAAGCGATTGATATTCTCGACATGTGGGTGCAAAAGCAAAATCATTTTGTCAAAAAAGATTACAGTAAGTAGTAAACTTGATTATTATAGAAGTAAACAATACAATGTGATCACGAGTGCTTTTATTACAAAACAAGCTATTCCTTTCTACCTATTTTGAAGACATACGAACTCTTTTGTTTTCTGTTCTGTATTTTATTTTTGATGACATTAGAGAGAAGTTAAAAAGTTTCTTTCTAGGGTATACTTTGTGAAAAAATATCAATAATCATGTTATTGTTATGATTGATGCCTTATTTACTTTAAATCAATTTAATTAGTCATTTTAATTGCTATCGTTCAAGAAATCTATCAAAGAAATTTATGAGTATTTAACAATAATAAATGATTTAAATATCTATTAAAATAAAAAGTGTCTATCTTTAAGAACCCAAAGAACAAGAGTGGATAGTTAAAGCGCATTTCTCATACTATATAATTACAGCCACATAAAAAAGACCAATAAAAGTATCTTAGTGTGGGAAATTTAAGCCCCCATACCTAATCTAAACCTATGACATTTTAAGAAGTTTTGCCAATCAATACGTTGATGGTCCAATGTCTGAATGAAGGGTACAGAATAAAAAGTATCATTTAATTTGCCTGTCTTTCTTAAGATAGCACATTACAATTTAGACTAGTTACACTTACAATAAGAATTCATCAGAATAACAGATTGATAATATTCTTTCCATGCTATTAATGTCAGCCACATCTTAACACCTGGATTTCGTAAAGAAGGGTAATTTCCCTACTATTTCAGACTACTCATGTTTAATAATAATATTGTTACTGTTTTTAACAAAACTATTATATATATTTGTAAGGTTAAAATTTAAATTTCTTTCATTTACATTATGTTTTATAATTTATCTTGAAAATAAAATATTTTGCAATCTTGCTTCTGTAGTTCTCGTCTTTCTAATGTTATATTAAATGGGGTAAAACAAAAAGAAAAACCGCATTCTCATCTAAAAAAAACTAGTACTCAGTTCGGGAATAGCACCCGGACGTTTATAAAAATTAAACTTGCGTTATATATTTCTATAAAGATACCGATTGCGAAGATCTTTAGCAGTCAATGTAATAAAAAAAACATTAGATTGCTATTTAGTACGGAGTATTCATCTATGACCATGGCGCTACAATCCCGCAAAACTATCATTGTAATGTAAATGATTACAAAAGCTTAAAACAACATAATATGAAAAATGATGTAATAATAACATCTACTGTCTAAGATCTCTGAAAGCATCAGCAGGTTTATTTGAATAAATATATTTTGAGTTTGGAGTCCATCGAGCAAGAGGTTTGTACAGCTTACAAATATCGACTTCAATAAAAGTTTTTTTATAAAGTTTTTCACTCTGCATATGCTTTTATTCAGTTAGTTTTGTTTTTAATTTTTAAAGGAAGTGTTTTTTTGTTAGAAATTTTGTTCATTTCTTTTCACTCAAATGAAAGTTGGATGTTTCTATTAAAGTGGTTCTATAATTTGTATTATAAATATAATACAAATTAATAGTTAATTAACTCACTGAATATTCAAATAATAACAATTATTTCAAATAGGTAAAGTTTGAAAAAAAGTTAGTTATCATTTGACATATTGAACGTTAGTCTGAATTATAAATAAATTAGCTTTTCTATAGACATTACAACCACTATTTAACTACGGCTTCTTACCATGCGATTTAATGATAGTTCTTAAAGATAACTAGTACCTCGTATTGAGTCATCAGCTGTATTAGATTTAAATTGATGTTACTTATTTATCTAGATAATATAATATTAACTAAACCTATATGGAAAGTTTCAGATAAATCGGTTAAGGATAACTGATTTAAAATTCAAATTTAAGCTGTTACCAGAATACGTAATCTAGATCTTACAACATACATACTTACATAAATACAATGCAAGTTAAGTAAAAAACTTGTAATTTTCCGACCGAATTAATTTGCATTTCAAACAAGACAACAGACAATCTGATAATCTTAACTTATGAGTCAGTTTCACTCTACAAGTAGTGTGAGTTATTCTAAGCTCTCTGTTGGAATTTGTGTATTGAGGTGCTACTAGACACTACAGGTTATCTTTTTGTCTATATCTTCACCCAAGAACTCTTGTGAGAAGTGCGTAGAGAGTTTAAAAGAAAACATTAATCACTCTTTTTATAATAATAATGCTCTTCTGTTTTTATAGTTTCTGAAATTACCTTCCGAAAACTCCTATAGTACTAATTTAGTTTATTTCTACATACAAACTTGATTACTATAGGTTCCCAAGGTTTTTGTATGTCGCTCGCCACCATTTAACTGTAGAAAGCGTGAATTAGCTTTGCTGATGTCTAATACATCCTTTCACCTAACACTGAGTGATGTTCTCCTAGTAAATGAATGATAATCTAGGTTTTTTGCAGGTCGTGATTATCTAGAAAGAACTATAATAAGGTCAAAGGGTTCCGTAGAACGCGCAAAAGAACGTCTTGACAAACTCTGCACATCAAGACCACAGATACCAGATTTCTTCAAAGAGTTTGATGTTAGGACCTCACTTCTTAAGGATATGTGCGTACATACTATTTTAATAATGAAATAAATTAATATGAATTCTTCTTTCTAATTGATGGTCTACTTCTGCTTTATCGGAGAGGCATTACAAGAAAAAGCTAGTTATTTATAAAAGTTCAGCAACCTTGATATATAAAAAAAAAACAAACTTAATAGATGTTAGGTTCATTGGAGATATTTTACATCAAAATTGATCGGCTAATTTACCTCAAATATTGGTAATTTTTATTGATTTTGAAAATAACTCTAACTTTAAGTTATTATTCATATAAAATTGATGTAGAATTATAAATAATCTCCGATTAAACAGGCAAACAAATAAATAAGTAGCTCGGTGGCGTAGTGAATAAGCGCTGCGGTCCGCGATCGTAGTCGTTAAGCAACTTTCGCATGGGTCGGTCACGAGTTAGGTGATCAAAAAAATATTATCTCGAGTTACTCCGTGCTTCGGAAGGCACGTTAAGCCGTTGTCCCTGGCTGCATTTGCAGTCGTTAATACCCTCCAATCCGCATTGGGCCAGCGTGGAGGATTACGGCCCATCCTCTTTAACCATCCATAAGGAAGGCCTGAGCCCCTGCAGTGGGGACGTAAAAAGGGCTAATGATGATGATAATGATGATGAAACAGGCAAATGTAGTTTAAACAACAAATATCTAAATATTAAAACAATTACTGAAAACCTTCTAACAGTGGAAAATTTAACCCACGGTGCATTGTGATCTGATGATTTCACTTTGCTTAAATTATAATTTATGAAAAGTTAATACATCACACTGTAAGCACTATGACACTCACAATTTGGATGGCTTATATTTGGCGAGATAATTGTATATCTAGCAGCTTTTACAATTTTACGATATTATAACCGTAGTTTTTATTTTTCAGGGAGATCACGTTTTTGCCAAAATTAACGAAAGATCACTATAGAGTTTATTTTGCAAGATGCGTTGGTAATAATTTCAAATCGGAAACATTCGATGCCATTTATAAGCGGGTCATTTACGTGAGTAACTCCACAATTTTTATGATCATAAAAGCTTGTCGCACGAATTACTTGTGTAAATAAACTAGTACCAATTCAATTATGAAAAATCTACTAAACCTCATTCAACGCATTATTGTTGCAAGGTCGTTTGTCAGTTAATTGCGTAATTTGTTTTAAATAATAAAATGTTTAGTAATGCACCATTTTAGATTTAGAGTGATGCCACATTATTTTTCTAACAATTCACAGCAATCCCTTTCATTTGATACCCACATTGCAGAAGTGCATAAATCATAACTATTCCGCTAACTTTGATATTCCGCCATATTTAATTAAGAATAACGTCAAATTGTTTTTTATGTTACTCTTGACAAGTCCTTTCATTTGACGCTCATATTGTAGAAGTGCATTAAAAATAATATTCCGCCATATTGGATTTAGCATGACGTCACATTATTTTTCTATTTACTCTCAACGAGCCCTTTCATTTGATATCCATATTGTAGAAATGCATTAAAAAACTATTCCGCCATCTTGGATGGCACGGGTCTAAAATTTATGTAAGGTAAAGTCGAGTCAATACAAAATGTTAAGATCATGCTTGCAACGACATTGAAAGACTTATTGAACTAATAACACTGTTTGTCCCTTTTTATTAGATGTTAGAGTATTTGTGTGCACACGATTATTCCTGTGGATTGTTACTGGTTTTGGACTTTCAACAAATGGATCTATTTGAATACTTGAAACATTTCAACATAGTTAACATGGCCCACCTAATTAATCTCATGTTGGTAAGTTCTTCATATAATTCTAAAATTAAAGTAGATATTTTTTATTTGAATAATTTTTACCGTATCGATTATCGAAAAGGCATCTATCTATGTTAGGTGGTTGATATATTTAATCTTTATTTGCTAATTTCTCAAATGGTCAACCAATATTTGAAATTATTTTTCCATTCAGAGCTTGTGGTCCTGACGTGGCTTCTTTGGCGAAATTAAATCATTAGTTTTGTTTTTAATAATTACTACCTATAACGGCGACTTCGCCTGCGTATCCTAGGAAACCGTATAGTGGAATAGATAACCTATTTGTTGATTAGAACTTAGAATGTCCATAGACCAAATTGCATCAAAATCCATTTAGTAGTCTTTGCGTGAAAAAATGCAACAAACATACAAACTTTCGCATTTAAAATATTAGTAAGATTTTTACTATCAAATTACTTAGATGACATAAAGAAACAAGAACGTTCATTGCGCATACCAATTATTTTTTGCTACATTAACATCATAATTATAATAAAATTAAATAAAATTAAATAAAATTAAACATTTTTAATTGCGATGTCGGAACTTTTTTTTTAGGTTCTTCAACCCTTTATTAGAATTTTTATGAACATAAGAATCGTTTATAAGATAAAAAAGGTTAGAATTTCAAAATCAACTATAGAAAATGAACTAACGATTTCATTATTTATAATTACAGAGCGGTTATGGCTTCAGGATAAAAGGTTTGCATATTATAACAAACTCAAAGTTGATAGATTCACTAATGGCAATTTTCAAACAAGTATTTAGTAATAAAATCGCCGGCCGTATTCAAGTTTTCAGAAATATAGAAGACTTTTATGAAAACTTCGACAGAAATATTTTACCAGAAGAATATTGTGGTCAAGAAAGATCAATTGTTAACCTAAATCGTAAGTAGATACGTGAGGTAAGGCTCACTGATGCACTTATAAACTCTATTATATCTATCCAAAGGTGGTCTGGAAGAAATCGCTTTATTCTGAGATGAACGAATGTGACACATAGCTTAATATTATTTTTTTGTTCTGTGTATATTTTCTATTTGGTTTAAACAGTAGTGTTCTCTGTCTATTTTCTCTTGTTCCTTAAATAAGACGTAATCTTTTCTAGATATGAAGTAAAAAATCTTTCTGTTTAATAATTAACTATTTAGATATATAAATTCATTTTATAAATCTAACCTGGTTTCTGACAACTTCAATAATATAATATAAACTTTCAGCTAATTTACAAAAACTTTGTAAGCTTATTATTCTTTTCTATTTCTTGTTTTTGTAAACTCATTGCATTTTATGATCCACCAAAACAAATCCAGTATCAATATAGTAGAACATATAAAAGTAATCTCGTGCTTTTTTAAAGTTACTCAAAATGCTTTGTTTACAGAACAATGGATGGACATACTGGACTCAGAGGATCATACCATATATATGAAAAATATTAAGAAAGCCATAACTATTGAGGAACTAAGAATTAAAGATGGTATTAGAAATGAACACTTGGGTATTCCTGGAACATTTAGAAGTTTGAATATGGACTAGAACAACAAGTTAATGATTTTTAAGTAATTCTGATGCTGTATATCAAATTATGTTTGTGTTTCGATAGTCACAGTCCTTTACAAATTGATAGTTATGTTAATTAATTTTCGAATATAAATTGTGGATATTTTTCTATCCATTTCCTAATTAAGTTAATTCACTAGTTATTTTGAATAATAATGCTTCACTAACAGAATTGTATTTTTTCTAATTAAGTTTTACCATAATTTATTTAGTCTGTTGTTTAGCAGAATCTAATAATAAAATATAAGTACAGTCACTATATTTTATTTATTATGTCAATAGAATAAAGCATAAAAACTGTCACGTGATACACGTGATAAACATGAGCTTGAGGCTTACCACAAATTAATTTTAATTAATAACAAGCATATTTGTAAGCTCTGGAGACAAGGTACAACGGATATGTTCGCTACAATACATGCTGGTTTTCAAGCACGACAAGAGGAACACCTAAACTCTCTAATAAACTCCAAAGAGATCGAGAGCCGATAAGGATAAGGTGATCATGTCGCCGCAATTGGTAGCTCAGTTTTAAGAGCGTTACTGCTGCTTAACGAGTAGTAACTCGAAATGTCACTAGTTCAAGGTTTCACTAACTTTGATGGAGTATTTCTCGAAGTTAAATATAATATAGCATTATATGAGATCGAAAATGCAGTGGTTAACATGTTCGGTCGGCCATGCGAAGATTAAATAACTTTGGAAACGACCAGTCATAATAAAGCTGACCGAAAATTTTATATCTAAAACTCCACTGTGCTTTAGAAGGCCGTTAAGCCGTTCGTCCTAACTCATCTGCAGTAGTTATCATCCAGCAATCCGCGCTGGCCCTGCGTGGCATACTGAGGCCCATTCTAGAGAGGCATGCCTATTTAACTCTATCTATATGAAACACCTCATCAGTAGGGATGTTAATAAGCTGCTGATTATTATTATCCATGCAAAAATTATGATTATTGTATGTACTAATAACAAAACGAATAAATATATTAGGGTTTATTGTAAGCCCACAACGCTGTTGTCTTCTTATACAACCCCCTATTGGATTTTCATCAATACGTATGATTTGAATCAGCTAGGAGTCATGGATAAAGCTATAGATATTAATGAATCGTAGGTGTACAAACAGCAACATTTTATAAAAAAAGATTTTAATAAGTACCTATTTGCTAAAATATTACAACGCTTTCGATACCAAGAAAGAGGTTACCACATTGGTACGTTCTCCTAATTCCCAATGACCATGGAGCAATTGAAATGAAATGAAAATATCTTTATTCAAGTAGGCTATTACAAGCACTTTTGAATCGTCCAAAAAATTTTTTTTTCCCCTACCACTTGTTCAGGACGTCATTTAGCTGACAAGAAGAACAAGCAAAAGAAACTTACCAGCTTTTTATCATAAGTAATGACATTTACATAAATCATGTCATTACCAAAATAATATGTATTATCACAATAATAAATACAACTTTCCAAGTCTGTAGGACATAGGTTGAACATATAATTAATCTTTATAGAACAAAGCGAAGGCTATCAATTCCATGCATTGCGATCCTTAAAATAATCATCAACTTTATAATAGCCTTTACTCATAAGTATATTCTTTACACGAATTTGAAATTTATTTATGGGTAGGTCAATTACATTTGTGGAACTTTATTGAACATAGCAATACATTTACCCAGAAATGATCCTCTGGTTTTTTGAAGTCTGAAGCTTGGAACGGCAAGTTTATTTTTATTCCTTGTGTTAAGATTATGAACACTACTTTTTTGTGAAGGAATGGTAATGTTTTCTTGTGTACATAATATTCTCATAGATGTATTGAGAGGCAACAGTCAGAATATGTATTTCTTTAAATATTTCTCTGAGACATTCCCTAGACTAATCTCTATAAATCTAATCTCTATATAGACAGCTCTCTTTTGTAGAATAAAAATATCCTGAATGCTAGCCGCAGAACCCCACAACAATATACCATACGTCATTACACTATGAAAATAACTAAAATATACCAATCTTGCCGTTTCAACATTTGTCAAGAGTCTAATTTTCTTAACAGCAAATGCTGCAAAACTCAGTCTACTTGACAAGCTTTCAATATGAGGATCCCATTGCAGTTGGGAATCTAGTGTAATAACAAGGAACTTTGTCGATTCTACTAACTCAACTTTTTCACTATTTACATTTATAAGTGTACTGACATGCCTCACATTAGGTAATGCAAACTTTATGCATTTCGTTTTATTTGAATTGAGCTTTAAATTATTATTATCAAACCACTGTAGAACATTGCCGAGAGCATTATTAACATCGTCAAAACAATCATTACCCCTCTCAACTTTAAAAAGTAAAGAGGTGTCATCTGCAAATAATCACGCACAAAATAAATAACGACCAACAATAAATAGAATTGAATATTTACTGCTAGTCGTTATTTAAAATATTAAAGTTCAAAATAATATTTACAGGCAAAAATGCAAGATATAGATTTAGCACAAAACTTGTATACACGTCAATGTTGTCTCAAAAGTCTCACAGAATCTCGAGACTGCGTCTTGTAATATTCAAGGTAAAAAATTAATAGATTTTTAAAACTCCTTATCAGACGATACAAAACAGTGCCTTAGTAACCTTAACCTTCTTGCAAAAGTTAGTAGTATGAATCTGCCCATTTAAGTTCAGATCGATGTATAAACCTAGACCCTTCAAAGTCGCTGAACGGAATCGGAGACCCGTCATATAATTTTAGAAAGTTGACTTCCATTAATCCTGCTCAACATTCCGCGACTACATATAAGTATGGCTTGGCATTTAGCCGGGTTGACAATAATACCGAAATTTGCAGACCAAGATATTGTATTGAGACCTTTATAGAATTTCAAGAATAGATCGACAAACTAAGAAAATAATTACCTTTATTTCAACAAGCAATAATGGCCGTCTTCACTAAACTTAGGAGACGCCCCAATCTTACACCTTAATATTTGGGCATTGTCTGAGGTGAAAATACGTTTCACTGATGACAAGGAGTCGCTTAACGAATTTTAGCAACGTGGTGATGGCTGTGTCAAGGCATAAAATCAATTTATACTCCATTCATTATAGCATTAGGCAGAAGTTAAATAAGGTTCTTTTTATGGTATACTTTGTGATAAAATATCAATAATCATGTTACTCTTAAGACTAGCGGCTAATTTGCTACATCTCTACTTAAACACCAGCTGCTATACTTAACTGTCGTCATTTAAGCTATCTATTAAACAAATTTATGAGTATTTGACGAACTTAAATGATTTAATAACTATTACAATAAAAAGTGTGCATCTTAAAGAACCTAAAGAAGCAGGGTTGGATACAGACATAAGCATTTCGGCACGATTCTCATGTCACTATAACTCTGCCAAATTTAAAACGTTGCCTCATCCCTCAAAGGTTTAGGCAGTACAGTTTTTTAATTTTGTCAGACCATATTATATTCATAACTGTTAAAATACGTAATCTGGGATTGTCAACCGTTGTAAATGCAACTGCCTTTCTTGTTGTTTTGCCGTTTACCGTGATTGAGTTGTTATAGTTTTATTTTGTTGTTAAGTTTTGTTAAATATCGACGATGCCGGTGCAGGCCCGAGTGGCCTACAACAATTAAGCTTTAATCCCCCATACCTACCTTCAACCTTTGAAATTTCAGGAAGTTTTTCTAAAGTCTTCGTCTATAGTCTATCTATAGTCTAATTTATTCAGACAATTTTGTTTACCTTTCTTTTCTGGGCATAGATATAACTAAATTCTATTCTAATTATATGCACTTATAAAAAAATAAGTTTTCATGTAGGTCATTATTGTATTGTATTAAATTTACTAAATTTACTGGTTGACTGGTAGAGAATGCCTCTTTGGCATTAAGTCCGCCATTTGTCTATTTCACTAGACAATTAAGATTAAATAAATAAATAAATTATTTGGATGCTGAACCAGTGGCCTAATTGTCTCATTTTTTAATCTATCACAATCATTTTCAAACGTATAGTGGTTGTGATGGTGAGTTATGAAATTGTGTAACTTTTAAAGTCACAATTGCTTTCGGAACGAATGACGACTTGAATTATACAGAATGTCATAGATAATTCATTTCTTTTTTTTTTAAAGTTGTGAAATAATCTTTACGATTTCGTCTGATTGTAATAAATTCTCCTTCGACTAAAGAATAAAAATATTTTATTCATATCAATAAAATATTAGAAATGATTTAACATTTCATACTTTTTATAAATTCTGTGTTTTATTTCAACAAAAAACAAACATAACCATCGTACATACTATCGTGAAAAGCTATTGACTATCACTAGTATCAAATCTAATCTGAAAAAACTGTAAAAATCATGACATTGTGAGGCATTTTAAAACAATTTGATACAAGTAGGTATCGATTAAAAGTATCGATTCCTACGTGATATCGTTGAATCCCTAAGCTCGTCATGTCATCAGCTGTGCATCATCTGTCAGAAAATTTGGATGAACTTGGCATTTCATTTTAAGTTCGAAATATCCATGTATAAAAAGATCGGTAACCCAGTAATGGAGGAATTTATTTACATCGTGCAATAGTCACCTTAATGAAATATGCAAATTATGTGGTTGTTAAAAAAACAAGGTATAAATGCAAAATAAAAATAAAAAAAAGTATTCTTAGTATTTTTTCCACCTTAACGAGTGATTATGTTATTTCTAGAACAATAATTATGAGCGTTATTGGGTATTGAATATATATCATTAACAAAACTTTCAAAAACATATCCAAAACATATATAAAATATCGAGAAATTGCAGTTAGTGTTCAACGCTTTCATTTGACATTACCCAATAACTTTCAAAGGTATTTGTAACTATCAATTTGCTTAGACAATTCCGATTAACGTCAAATGAACGTTATCGTTCATTCAATATCTTTAAAAAAAAATGTCGTGATCGCATTTACTTTCACATGTCATTTAGTTGTAGCGTGAAGTTCATGAATTAGGCCACAGGGTACAACCAACTTGCTGAACGCTTACGATTGTCGACCAGGATCCATTTCTCATCACAAGTAACAATGTGGTTCAGAATTCTTTCATTTGTATGCCTATTGAGTAGTGCAAAACACGTCTCGATGGTACTTCGCGCTGGCGATTATTGAGTTCATGGGGTACTACTGATTTGCTAAGCTTTTTTAAAATTCAAAGTAAGAAATGATTAAATAGTTTAAGTA